TATAATACCATACCATATAAAATTTTATAATGGAAACAACAAATACAAATGAATAAATAAACAGATAAAAGAAACACAAGTGGAGCCTATAGAGAATGTATAGAGCTGATCTTCAAAAAGTAAAATGTGTTTGGCACCGAAGCATTCAGATCAGAGTTCTGATTGCAAAAACTGCCAGACAGGACATAAATTTAAAAAAGGAAAAATGACATTAGTGAAGCAGGGCTTAGCATGTGGTAGACCAAACTGTATTTATTCCAAGAAAAAACGAAACTGGAATAACAAGATGACAAGAGACATGTTGCAACTCGTCCTCTCTCAGAATAAAATAAGAGAGCAGTTTCAGTTGAAGCTGAGCTGCTCATTGCACCACTAAGTAGCACAGCTGTAACATAGCTGCACCTGCTGGAGTTACAAGATACATGCACAGTAAATAAATAGGCTTATATTTAAGAAAAATGAGAAAGAATGTATTATTTACAAAGATTGTATTAACAAGTATTATTTTTCAATAGAAATACATTAATTTGATATCAAAGGAGAGAAACAGAGGTGCATACAGTTAAAAAGGAAGACTGTCACAACAATTAAGAATAGGTCAATACAAAGAGAACCAAAATAAATAAAGCTGTTAACTTATTATTTATCTACAGATTATATATTGTACAGATGTGCTGCCTCATTTGCAAATAAAGTTTTCTTGATTTGGACTGTATATAAATATAGCCTGTTTAGACCTTAAAACTATGTTGTTTAGCTCTTATTAATCTGATCGACTCTGCCATGCATGGCACTTAAATTCATTATAAAATCTCTTTCTAATTCAAGACCTTTATGAATGGTGCCTCACAGAAAAGTGCTGCTTCTGATTTAGCATTGTAGCTATCACAGATTATTAGACTCAGTGCAAAATTAACAGCTGATGAAAGTGACAGTCATCAACTGTAGGTTAGAGGTAAGAAGCCCTTCTTTGGTTGCCTAGATGAAGTTAAAACATTTTGGGTCTTTTGAGGTTTCTACAGTGATTTTAATTTTACTTCCTATATTATGCCCATGGACATGGTCCAATCCTGAGGCTCATCGCTCCTGATTGGCCATTTTAAAGCAAATTAGCTACACTAGGATTGTTAGTCTGTGACTTTGGGTGAGACCCAAAGTAGCTGTTTTTCCTGAAATGGTGCGTCTACAACCAGAAAAGTAGTTACAAAGTTACAATAATGCACTGGAATGGGAAATGGAGCATATTCTCCTTGTTTCCAAGACAATATGTTTTATTCTTGGACTCCAAAGCAGCTTCGGATGGTTCACAGTTCAAAATAATACTTATTTATCTTTGTTTTTAAGCCTCAGTTTGACTTTTCAGTTCATCTTCTGTCTTTTCTTGGCTTCTCTCCCTATAAGCCAACTTTTGTCTGACTGACTGGTTTCCCTCATAAACAGAAGATTTGAATGGTAAGGGGACCTTTTGTGCTCATGGTCAGAACTGCATGTCTCAGATGAAAATATTGATGATATCCACTCTCTATAATGCAATAAAAGTGATTACATGACCTCATCACATGAAACTTCAGATACTACAGGTCATCTAACACAGTAAGCAATGTAACAACCAATTTGCACAGATGAACTGAGTTGAGTTATTGCCATTTAGAAATACATACAGAGAGACTAAAGCCATGCTGAAGACTGTTTAGGCACAGGTGCTTTGTTCAGGGATATTGACAATGACAGTCACTGCATTCACAGAAACTCTTTCTCAAAGCCTGTTTTCCTGTCATTGAAATGTGTAGCTTCTTCAGCTGCTCCCCTGCTTCCTCCAGATATTTCAGAAGCTCCACTTCCTGATCTTACTTGATCCGAAGTTCTTGCCCCTCTGGAGTTGTGTGGTTTTCTATCAAAGCTGTTCCTTGTGGTGTTTACACATCTGGATTCTTGAGCATCACCTCTTTTTCATCATGTTCAAGAATCCTAGTAAAAATACAGTGTTAACTTGTCATTTTGTGTTCTTTGTGGTCACATAGAACAATGTATACAATTCACAGACAGGAGGATTCACTTGTGTTTGAATATTGGCTTAGTTTATCCCACTTTTTAAAGTATTTGCCCCCTATTTGGAATTGGTTTTATTTTGATTCTTCGTAAATGAAAAAAGAAGTTTAGGGTCATGGCACATTGTTGACATGCTTGCCATGTTTTCTCAGATCTCAGTAGAGAAAATTTCATGTTCTTGTAATGACAAAAACACTATTTTAAAATGGAAAAAAAGAGAGACTTGTTTACCTTACTCGGCATCTGTGAATGGTCAGTAGAATACTCAGAAACACGGCG